TTCCTGATCTAGGATTAGAAAATACAAAAAAAAGCCGTTTGCTGTTGTTGGTAAGTTTATAACATAACTTTGCTTTATGTTTTAATGTTTGACGGGAAATACCTAGTGAGACTGGAGCCCACATATGCACTCTTCCAGCTTATTACACGCACACCATGTAATTCATTGCCATTATCAAAACAGTTCTGTACAGTTTGACGAGGTAACGCCACTTATGCCGAATTTTGGATAAAACACAACAAATTGTGCACAACGCCGGCATCACATCGTATGATTGACACTTAGACAAAGCAACCATATTTCGAACTTTTCGAAATTGTTATTGTCTGTTTATGAAAGAATTGAGGTGGATTCGATTGCTCTGCGGTGGGCCCGATCCATTTTTGTCTATTTTGAAGGTTTAACTTGACATAATGCACTTTTCAATATTATTGAGTTAAACCCTTTTCTAACTTTGACATCAGAGAGACGGATTCGTTTCGTATTTAAATACAATAGAGATCCGCTTCCATTTTCCTTCCAAAATTGCTTTGACCGGTATTATCATAAAATACTCGTAAAGATTAACAGAACATGCTTTTTGAATGCGAAGAACAATCTCAGTTTTGAATGTCACTGTGTTATACTGAGACCACCAATTTATATAAATTTTATCTTTACAGCGTCGTGTTATTTAAGGAAAAGTTTTCTATCTATTACTTTTCGTTAACACCTGCCCATGATACATGTAAAGCTTTTTTCTTCTTTTTCTGAAATTATGACGTCAAAATTTATCGAAGAAAAAATGGTTTTAAAATGGCATTTATTTTTTTAAGAATTTAAAGGACCTCTTTTCTTTTTTAAAAAAAAGGTGTTTAACTTACAGAAATATTTTTTGGAATTCAATGTTGTTTAGAAAATGTGCAAAAAATAAACTGAAAAACATTACAAAAGGAAAACTAATTTTCAGACGTATGTATGAGTTATCTCCCCTGAAATAACCCCAAATAAATAAGAAATCAAATTCACGTGCAGAAAATGGGATTGGTGACATATTAATTGTGTGCGCTCGAAAAATTTCTTTTATCATATTCTAATATCATATCAAGTTTGAAGGATATATGAGACGTGACATGGCATATCCAATATAGTGGTCAAAGACGAAATCGTAGAAACGCGTTATCAACGTTCACGCCAATATTTATTAATGATATGACGCACGCTTTTTCAATCAGCGCTGTGCAGTTTTTAAACAGTGCGCACATCCGTTGTATGTATATAAACACAATCATTTAAATCATATACATTATAAACTGGCCTTAAAATCTTCTTGTACTTCTGTAAAAGCTACATGTCACATTATATTCTTATATAAAAGATATACATGGCTGTCTTATACACATGAAGCGTGGCTTAGATAGTAAACATGTTTATGACCACACCCATTTATTTTTATAAATTAAATACTTTTTTTCACATTTTTTTTTTCACTCAAAATGTTTTAAAAACATCTTATTTTCCATCAAACAACAAAGGAAAGTTGTTTTTAAAAATTTCATCCACATATACTATCAATAAAGTAAAGGTAGAAAGGTTCGCGAGCGGACCTACCACCAAGTCTTATTTTATCTCCCAGATCTTTGTTTATTGTCAACCAATTTTCACCAAATAAAGTGCAATCTACTCTTTCGAAGAATGTACAATATTAGACCAGTTGGTATCTATTTGTATATAAAATCATACTGTTAAACACCAAATAAACACTTTTTTCTGAAGTAAAAGTAAGACAAATGTTGTACTCGATTGAAATAATGGTATCGGGCCACCCACACTGCGTTGCAATCGAGACCACCGCCGTTTGCGTTGTAATCATTAATTATTTATTTATTTATTATATAAACATGCGATTACAATTTCAAAATTTTCAAAAATATGGTTATTTTGTTTTAGAATTAGTAGTTTGCCGTAAAACGTTAAAAAATGAAGCAAAATCCAATCATAAATTTACCGCCCAATTTTTAACCATCGCTTCTGTTCTGAACAATCCACCGCCTCTGCGATGTACCCGCCGCTGATGGACCCACCGCCTCTGCGAAAGCCATGGCCAGTGTGTACCTGAACCACTTGTGTGCCATTTTGAACATTGTTAATTCATGTCAGCACTTTAAACAGGTAGTGCAACATTTAGGCTTGCACAAGGAGTCGTGCAGATTGATTTCCGCGAGTGGGTTGATCGCCAGTCTACTTTTGAACACCACGCTAGCTGCATGCGCAAACAAAAGGTTATATAAGAAAAGCATTGATGCAAAGCATCAGAATTGTATATCACTTAAGAATGATCGGACGAAAGACATTGTTCATTATTAACTTTGATTGGCATGCTAGAGTTTAGAATATTACTTGTTATTTCCTTATGATCGTGGTTATTAATAGCAACGGATATACATGTATACAATCATTTATAATCCATATGTGTAACGCATGATCAACACCACACTTGTGTAATTGTCCCTTATAATGTTATCGCTATTAGCGAAGACCTCCTCTAAAGGTATCTGTTCACACTTACTAACAATATGACACTGATTATATTACCATGTTGATCATGTTGAGCATAATTGTTTATTATACAATAATTGTAATATCTATTTTAATAAAAAAATTTACAGATTTTATGAATATTGTTTTCTTTTCTTTTTTTGTGTTTTATGTGCTATTTTATTACTGAGTTTTTACGTTTACTACTATTATAAGAATTCAATTGTCATATTGACCGACGATTATAAGTCAAAACTAACTGGAAAAAATTATGGTTAATCTTTCAATATATAATATTGTTTATTCTTAAACCATATACATGTACATTTGTATTTTTCTAAATTATCAATGAATTGAATAATTCATAAAAATCTAATTTGTAACTTTGAATAATTCCTCAGCATCTTAACTAAACACGAATAACAAATTAAATAAAAATAAAATGTTTCAAAGTTGAAAGTGTCATATTAAAACCATAAAAATGTACCTTTTTCTCAATTATTGTAACTATTTATTGTTTTTATCGCATATAGATAAACTAAAACATGCTGTTGTTGTTGTTGCGTTGTTGTTTTTTCGAATTGTATGTTTATGTATAATAATAATCAATAAATTTGAGAGTTGATCTGTGTTTATTAATTATTGTAACCAAACTAAGTGACAAACATTCATTTTGAAAAAAGCTGATTTATCTGTAAAATATTTGTTCTGTTCTGTAACGATATAAAACATCTACTTCAAAACCGGGTGAGGCCGGACAATAAACGAGTGGTACTAGTAAATTCCGGTCAAAATAGACCAGGAGAGACCGGGAATTACCGATAGGAGTACATCCCTCTATAAATAGATTTTCGGAATATTTAGGTCATCAACACATCATTCAATTCAGCTTTCGGATACACATACAACAATAACATACCATAATAACCCACAGTGTACTACAAAATGATAAATAAACATACCCCGAAGAGCGCGATGTCTTGACAGAAAAGATTATTTCATTTGAAAATGTTTGCATTGCGAAATTTTCCAGTTCGCAATTCATTGTATATATCGCGACATTTCACTTTTAATTAATAATCAAGCACCCTCATAATGGTCGGCTTTTATTATGTCCGACTAAAAGGCTCGAGAAGTTGCTGTATCTGATTTCATTCCATAAGAGGCACCGCGCTTCGGCGCGGACGCCAATAAGATGGAAATTTTCTATTTGTTGGGGTTCTTTGAGTTGAAAAGTTGTTGTTGAGTTGTTGTAGTTTTAGTGTTTAATTTGCTTTTAGACTGTTGCTAGGCTATACTTATGATGCACAATTTTAGTTCAATTGATTAATTTTATATTCTTCACTTGGATGTCATTTTTATTATACAAGCATAGAGTTCTTAAAGACATTTTCAGGGACATATTTCTGTTTTTTGTTGTTGTTTTTTTTAAGCCAGAGTTATTTCGTAACAATATCACCAAACACTATTATACATGTATGACCGAGTGAACCGTGTACTGAAATTTTGCCCCTCCATTAACTTCGGAACACTTCGCCTATTATCCCTAATATGAGCTTATCCGGAGACGGACGGAACTAGTCGATATGATTCTATTGTTCGCAGATACAATTAGACTAATCAGAAGTTCTTACTTTTGAATAATTAAACAAATCTTCAACAGCTGCAGAAAGAGCTCTCGCATGCTATTTTTTTGAAGACGCAAACTTGTCATGCCCATTATCAGTATTATGACGTTCTACCAACGCCGCCTTCGAGGAGTTTCGTCCCGTGACTTTGCCTGGGGAATCATAGGGTACGGCAACTCCGGTCCTGCAGTTGCCTACACCCGAAATGTAAAGGTTTAAGGCACATAAACACTGTCGGTGAAAACCTTGCTCACCACCAAGAGTGGTTTGTGTCCTTATATATTGGAAACATTCCCTTATGTAAATTTACCAACTTAAGTTTTGTCATATTATCATGCTTATTATCAGTATTATGACGTTCTACCAACGTCGTTACAACGTAAACAAAGTAGTATTTTGACTTCCATACAAAATACTAATTTACCATAATCATACAAATTGCCAACAGAGCAAACGTAACAGGAGAGAGTTCATGAATATGACTAATAAGAGTTTTTTTTAACTGTAATAAGATACCAAAAATAAACCAGAATCAGATGATAAATTAATTTTATAGCTGTCTCAGCAATAACATTATTCCTAGTGTTCAAGAACCGATACAATAGCAGCTTTCGGTCATTTCCGTCATCATCCGGTAGATATGAATAAAGTTATAATATTGGGGTCTCAATTTTAAACAATATAACACAAAACAAAAACAAAAAAGAATATGTTCGTGCTATATTTGCCTGGTGTTTCTTATTATTAAGCCATAAACAATCAAAAAATAAAGATTATATTCTTATTTGTTTAATATAGCTGTTACAATCCAACAGACTTGCGGCAAATTCGATAAAGAAAATCGTTAGTACTGACCTTTACTATTTGAAGCCTTTGAAACGTTTATACACATGTATAAAGAAACAGATACTGCGATAATCAACAGTCCAATCAAAATTGAATTTACGAGGGTACACCAAAACAAAAGTGGTGTGCACTTCTTGGCTGAAGGAGTAGTTTTATCTGCAAGCTCCCCTGTACCATGTTGAAGAGTTTCGTAAATGTTGTCTTGTTCAGTCCGATTTTTTAACTCAATATCTATTTCCAAATTAGCATATGTTCCCGGTTCCATCATGTACTTGTATTAATTGTAAGAGAAGACGTACGAAGTCTACCGTGTACACTATGTTAAATAGTTCAAAATATTTACTGTAAGAAAAACAAAACATGCCCAGGTGTCTCTCTTGTAATAAAGATTTTTTTCTTTTGTTACAAGTTTAGTTTTTCTTTGTTATTTTTCTTTTGTTTCACCATTAATTACCATTAGATATAATCAAGAAAAATACGTTTTAAAACGATTTATATTAAACAAAAGAGCTTCATTGTTTCAGTGCAGTGTTCGAAAGGTTATCGAAAGGTTATCGTATTTACAGCTAAAATGTAGTTTCGCACGATCATTTAGCTTCCTTAAAATATTTTTTATTGCGTATGTTAATGTTGTAGACAACAAACAGTAGAGTTGAGACCAAAAATGTTTAGACATTTGTTACAGTAATCATTCCTATGGAGCAGAATTTGGGTAATTATTCGCTGTTTATCTTTCAATTTATCTAATTTATATTCGTATTTATTAAATTCTTATCTATAATCATATAAATTTAAAATGATTTAAACAAGTTTAATTGCTACTTTTTAATTAACAGTTAAACATTTGTATTTTGATACTGCAGAATGTAAGGATCAATTGTTTCTACTTCTTGTTTAAACTACGTGCTTAGATATTATGTTGCATACTTCTTCCTTTTCAATTTGAATAATTTAGATTTTAACTTATGATCTTGAACGTCCTTTCTTTTAAGAATACAAAGTGGGTGACATGACACTGAAATAAAATCTGAACGAATGCACCTAAACGAATACGAACTGATATAACACGAATACGAAATTACATTTGAAGTTTAAATTTATACATCTGGCTGGGAACCAATATATCCGTACAAATCCGTAATTTCTGACGGTGTAACCGTTGAAATATTTTCTTCAAAAAAATCCACGAAATCCAGGGTAGCACTCCACAGTTAATTACAAGTTCCTGCCGTCAATGTCCTACAAGCAATACGTCTAATAATTCTGATACCAAACTACACAACCTGGAAAGAGAAAACACATTTTGTTGAGAACATATATGACATAAGATTGCAAATCTACAAAGAAATCATCCCATCTGCAATAGGCAGGCAGTCAAAAAAGTTGCAATTCATTCCGTTGAAGCCAAAAATCTACAGTGGCCCGAGACCCAAAACAACACATTTCGTCCCTCTGGCAAAAAATACCTGCAAATATACAGGCTAAAGAAACACCGTCTCTGCTTTAGCAACTCCCTATACATGCAAAATATCACAAAGAAACTGGTGCTCAACCTTGTAGATTATCGCTACTGCTAAAGGTCTGTACCCCCCAAAAAATGGCGGCCTTTACATCTATAATCAAGAGCATGTCATTTCTGGCCATGTTTTCGAATTTGCCAGTGATCATATTAGATGTCACAAAAACAAATTTCATGCTGAAAATGCACTTTAAAGACTACCAGTCATTTAACCTTTTCCCTTATATAGACGTGTTTTGACGGCTTTTTGCCCCCCCCCCTTTTGAGGCCTCAAACAGTGAAAAATTGCCTTATTTAGGCCCCAACACTGTTTTTTGAGAAATGTTGTTAAAAAGTGACCACTTTTCGGCGTGGCCCCCATCAAAATAGTACATTAGGGGGTTGCCAGAAGGGAGATGTGCCCCCTTCTGTTTGGGGGGTTTGAAGGGGGGCGGTAGTCCCCCTCATCGCCAAGAAAATTTTGGACATGTGACAGGCTAAAAATGGCCTCAGGTCGATCTCAGGGTAACTAGTAACCGAAGCTGAAAAGCCTTTTACTATATCTTAATTCATTGAGAAGTTGCAGCACTTTAAAATCAGTATTAATGGGGGAAAAAAACAATGCAAAATGGTGATTTTTCGCAATTTTGAGACTTCCCCCTGTTGCCATGCTCACATAAAATTGAAAACGATTGAGCATGCTGTTACAGAGGCTATGGTCCAATCAACATTTGTGCCAAGTTTCATCAGTATTGAAGCATTTTTCATAGTTTCATAGCAGTTTGAACTTGTAACAGGAGGCTTTTCAATGAAAACGGCCATTTTTCACAATATGCTCATGGGGGTAAAAGGTTAAATCAAGAATATTCACTATATCCAAGAAATCCTCCCTGGCCATTCGAAGCTGTGGCTTCGAACTGTGGTGTGCTACATGAATAAATACCAAAATTCTGCTCCATACATTCAATTTCCATTCGAAATATTATAAGTTATTTTATGACGAAGTTAAATGCCTCATGCACATCACATCAAGCATGTTGGTTCGTATAAACAGACTCGCCAATTTATCTAAAGTCGGTGAAAATAATTGTTGAAGAATTTAAACATGATGTGTCTGATATGGTTATACATTGTTCTCGATGTATATTTGTCTATGTTTAAATATGTACATGTAAAGATGAGACTACGTATAATGAAATAATATAAAAGTTGAGTTCGGTTTGTGACGATAGATGTTGGCAATTGTTCGCTTCATAGGACAAAATTATTCTACACAATTTTAAATGGATATAAGATAAATGAATATAACTAACTTATCGATAATATACTGACTTATAGTTACAAGGTAAAATGTAAAAAGACATTCCATACAGCTAACTCCCTTCCATTGTATGGAGGCTGTTCGTTGCCAAAAATCCAGCCTTATTGATCAGAGTTGAAAAGTTTGTTTACTGACAAAATACAATTGTATTGCTTTGTATGTCAACTCTAATGTTGCATTCTTGGATTGAGTTTGCCGATTTAACATTATGAAAATGTCTTTCAACAACATACATTTTGTTAACTGACAAAACATTGACTGTTTTTCTGATAGTAGCATGAACAAGTGTTCATCATAACATGCGAAATACAGTTCATTGTTCGTGTTTACGCCGACAAAACAGAAGTTACTTTCTTAGCCCATCATGATTCGGATTAGCATAATCCAGGTTTACACGTTTTTCAATAGGAGATAAAATAAGCTCCGCCCATTTTCCCGCCGTAAATAAACCTATTAATCCGCTCATTTTCGGTATTTACCATTATTATTTACCAAAAATAATTCACTTGCATGACTTCCATTCTATGCCTTTATTCAATCAACATCAGCGAACTTTAAATTATTATAGGCATACAAGTTTTGAAACGTTGTACATAGATACCACATTTCCTAGAAAAATAAACTAAAAAAATCACCAGGTTACTTACTGTCTGAGATTAAATATTTTTCAAGGAAGTAAAATATATTGATAAGACTATATTCAACGACAAATGAATTTTACTGAGGGGATTCCAAATTTGCATAGGAATGAGTAACATTGACAGTTAAGCTGCTACCTTACCACTTTCAAATTTTCAAGTCAACATCTGAGAGATATTTTGATACGACCAAATTCTGGCTTTGTAGCATTTACAATTACATTAGTAACCTTAATTCTAGCGTATGACTTGACAAGAAAGAACTTTTAACAAATAGTAAAATAAAAACAAGAGTTTTATGTACCCTTTTGTACATACCTTTTTATTTTTACCTTATTGTATAGATATATTTTCCACTTTTTTATAAAGGTATATTATGTATGTTGATTATCAATTCAAGGACCACAATGGAAATAAGGGCTTGCCCGTTTTGTGTTATCCTTGGTGTTGGTGAGCATGTCATAGTTTTCTCGTATGTCATATAGTATTTAATAATTCTCCTTACTTTATCCTATGTAATGTTGTGTGCTATGTATGTGCTTCCTATGCCGAAATAAATCTATCTATCAATCTATTCATGTTTACCGTGTTTATTTTATCTCTATGAAAGCCATCACTTACAAAACTTAATAAATATTCTGTGTAGTATTTCATGTACATAAAAATAGTTCTCTGCTTTTTATCAGATAGACAGCAAGTCTAGGTAACAGCTATTGACAGCATGTATACACAGATTTTAGAGCTGTCATTGATTTAGTACAATGTATAAAAGAAGACCTTAACCGTCAGCTTACATATATTTAATAATAAAAGGCTAAATCACATCCTATGACTCAAAATACCTCCAAATGGAGGTTAACAGAGATGCTAGAATACACTGAATATTTATTTAAACATTGAAATGGGATAAATTCACAATTTTTGGGTTATTCAACGGAATTATCGATAGTAAACTTTGAATAGTTCCGTGGTATTACAGTTGGTAAAAAAAATTGGGTTTTTTCTACAAAATAGTCCTTTAAAAAAGAAGGCACAGGCTTACTGTTCACCTTTCTTTATTCGTGTTGCCAAAAGTAAATACGATGTATTTCATTCTAGTACTGTTTGCTTGCGTAAGAGTACTACAATGTAATGTTTGAAGACACACAAATCCTATCGGAATGAATTTGTGACTTATGTCAATATATATGGGAAACATATCCCTTATTTAATTTCAACTTTTGTTTTTTCATTTATTATGCTCTTTCAGTTAAACGTTGTTACATTGTTCAGATATCTTAACCAAATTTTGCA